ATATATATATATCTATATATATATACTATAATAATATATATATATATATATTAATTAATATATATATATATATAGTATATATATATATATATATATATATATATATATATAATATACATATATATATATTATGTTGAGATACACACACACATATATATATATATATAAATATATAAGTAAACACACAAACACATTCACATGTGCATTGCAGACATACATATGCATATACATACCCAGTTTCCATTAGCCTGTTGCCTTGATAGCAGAAGCTCTATACCTCTACGAATGGGTGCATGGTCAGGATAGCCGGCACGAAGTAGAGATAGCACAGCCCATGCAGTCTGAATGACTTGTGACCTCGGGTGCTGTTCATATTTAAACGGGCAAGAGTCAGTTACCGGTGAAGCATAGGGGTGAGAACGGCAGATGATATGGATGAAACTACGGATAGTCAGTAACTAGGATTCAAGAGAAAATTATATTAATAAAATCTATATATAATATAAACTAAATTGGGTATAGGAAAAATATATCAAGTGCGGCGAGTACGACAGCAACATGGCTAACGGCAATCGAAAGATCAAAGAGAGCGGGGGTTGCTAGGATATATATATATATATATATATATAGAAAAAGTAAAGATAAAGATAAAGATAAAGATAAAGATAAAGGTAAGGTAAGGATATAGATACAGATACATATATGTATATATATATATATATATAAATAGATTCGGCTTTCCAAGAAAAACCTTACGCCCGCAAGAATAAACACATTGTACTATGTGCATACTGAAGCCGTTTATTGAATCGGTACGACTGAGTTGCACTATACAAGGTATTGCAATCGTGCCTGCCGGGAATACCAAACGTAATCCACGCAAACCTATATACTGATAGATAGAACATATCGAATACATTCACGAATTGTTTCAGTTCCTCGAAAACCCCATGCAGAACATGCTTCCTGAGATATTCTCTCGGCACACCACAACATGCAAGTCTCGCTCCATGTACCGTCTGACTGCTGCTCGGACGGAAACTTAGTGTGTACACTCGCTAAAATCTAGTTTACACACTCTCTAAAACTTAGTTTATACACTCTCTAAAACTTAGTTTAGACACTCTCGAAAAATTAGTTTATACACTCGCTAAAACTTTGTTTATACACTATCTCATGTCATTGTATTGTAAGGCGTGTATAACGCGACATCGATTGATACACTACCGCTCTAGTTAAAAGACTGACAATTGACAAACTCAATCCATACAGCTATATCTGGCGTATGCTCCAGGCACGCCCCACATGAACGCCTTATCCCTGGACAGTACTAGCACACAAGCACGCACACTGGCCTATTCACTCACTAACCTCCGTACATATACATACTTGCTACATAAATACATGACCACACATTCACTGACCGTACATATGTACACACTTGTATAAATATGTAAATATATAACTACACACTCACTGACCTCCGTCCATATACACACACTTGTATAAATATGTAAATATATAACTACACACTCACTAATCTCCATACATATACACACACTTGTATAAATATATAAATACATGACCACACATTCACTGACCTCCGCACATATGTATACACTTGTATAAATATATAAATATACAACTACACACTCACTAACCTCGCACACAATATACACGCCACACTCATCAGCAACGCACCAGCCCTCACCAACACCACACATACAAGTATATTTTACCTACACGGGCCTTGTAGGAAAAACCATCCCCTACACCGCCATACCTGAGCATACTCTCTCGTCACACACGACATGAACGTCTCTCCCCACCCACCGTCCTCCTTCTGCTTGGACAGCAAGAACGCACACGCACGCTTCGCCGCACCGGTAGGTGAGTCGTAGGTCTCTCCTGCTTCTACCAGCCCATCTATGGCAAACCAGATACCGTACGTGAAGCATATCCCCCACATTCCCTCGAAGCTCCCGTCGGGACGTTGGACGCTGTAGGGGTAGGCAAGGGGAGAGCGCGAGGTGTGAGGGAGGCAGTGTAGGTAGGCGCTAGAGGTAGCTGTTATGGATGTAGATATAGATGAGATTTAGATACAGATCCAACTATTTATAGATGTAGATAAAGATATGACTGTTTATAGATATAGATACAGGTGTACCTACTTGTAGATATCGATATAGGTGTATCTATTTATAGACAGAAATGTAGGCGAACCTATTTATAATTATAGATATAGGTGAACCTATTTATAATTATAGATATAAGTGGACATATTTATAACTATAGATGTAGATGTACCTGTTTATAGATTTAGATACAGATGTACCTACTTGTAGATATATATATAGGTGTACCTATTTGTATTTATAGATATAGGTGGACCTACTTATAAATATAGATAGGGGTGTACCTATTTATAGATATAGATGCAACTACTTGTAGATATATACAGATGTACCTATATATATTTATAGATATAGGTGGAGCTATTCATAATTATAGATATGGGTGGACCTATTTATAACTATAGACATAGGTATACCCATTATATATATATATATATATATATATACATATTTATATATAGATGTGTGCACGTGTGAAGGCTCTATAGTGTACATGTACAAGGTAGGTCCTGGTGGTGTTGAGCAACGTGTCACAGGATTTGGGGTCCGATTTTTCGGACTGGTCCAAAAGGCTTCTTGTGGCCAAAAAAGAATAGCACTATGCTTCTGGTTATAAGTCTATGGTTTTGATTAAATTAGAAGAAGCACCGGGACATGTATCTCTGTGGATATGTATGGTACATCGCACATAAGTGGACGCTACAGACGGCATCACCAAATAGCTTCAAGCAACGCTAACCGAGCACAGTATAACTATATACTCAACTATGTGTATGGATATGGAAGCATGTGGTTTAGGCACCTCATCAACACCAACAACCGATCACAGTATAATTATATACTCTATTATGTGAATGGATATAGAAGCAGGTGGTTTAGGCACCTCATCAACACTAACCGATCACAGTATAATTATATACTCTATTATGTGCATGAATATAGAAGCATGTGCTTTAGGCACCTCATCAACACTAACCGATCACAGTATAATTATATACTCTATTATATGTATGAATATAGAAGCATGTGGTTTAGGCACATCAACACTAACCGATCACAGTATACGTTTCATTTATACTCTATTTATGTACATGGGGTATAGAAGCACGTTGCTCAGGCAATCAATCGCAGAGTTTGTTTCAAGATACATAACTATACATGTATGTAAGAAAAACTATACTTGCATGTATGCCAAAAACTATATATATAAATATATTAACCTCTCTTGTCTGTTCTCGGATACACCTGCGTACGCATACCATATGCGACTACGTATATGTAGAGTAAACACCCTATCTACGTATATGTAGAGTCCACACCCTATCTACGTATATGTAGAGTCCACACCCTATCTACGTATATGTAGAGTACACACTCTACGGTAAACAGTCACAGCCATAACTTCTAACCTCTCTCGTCTGACCCTGGACACACCTGCGTACGTGTACTATCCACACCTATGTATTTATAGAGCACACACCCTATAGTAACAAGCCACACACTCACCCCAGCATGTAGGTCCTGGCCTTGTTTATGGCCTGAGAGACTTCAGCCGTGCGATGGTGTGGGTAGATTTTGCGGAACAGACTGAGACCTGTGAGAGCGGATGAAGTGCACTCGACGTAGTCATAGTCGACCATGATATCCGCAAACACCTGCAACAGGTGGGGTATAGTTTTTGGTATGAAGTATGTGAGTATGGGCAATACATGGGGTGTAGTAGTTAGTAAGAAGTATAAATAGTATAGTCAATACATGGAGCGTAGTATGTAGTATAACGGAGGTGCACTCGACATAGTCATAGTCGACCATGATATCCGCAAACACCTGCAACAGGCAGGGTATAGTGTTTGGTATGAAGGATGTGAGTATGCTGATCTATATACATCCATCTCGTTCCCAATACCAAACTTATCCCTCAAAAGTATCCACAGCAGAGGTTGTGTATCTTATGATGATGAGATATGATTTTATTATTATAAAAGTAGGCAATACATGGGGTGCAGTATTTAGTATGAAGTATATACAGTATAGGCAACACATGGAGCGTAGTATGTAGTAGAACGTATAGGAGTATTTAGTATGGAGTATACAAAGCATAGGCAACACATAGGGTATAGTATCTAGTGTGAGGTGTAAAGTATATGCTACACATGGAATTCTCGCACTTATGTATAGGCCCTAGATATATAATCAAAAGGTGTATATGTAGACACCTTGCGATATTGTTCCCTATTCAAAGTACAAAGAAAGCGTATTAGCCGGTCGTATAGCTAATATGTATTGGCATCCTATCAAAGACATTAAATTTTAATATACACATCCAGCGTAAAGCAAAACTTTATAGGCATCCATTTCAGATTGATAGCTCACGATTTTAACACACGAATTATATATGTATAGAACGTTTATA